TCTTAGTGCTCTCTTAAACTCATTGTTTATTCCATCTTGCAACACCAACGCCTACATGCGGTCAGTTGTCAAAAAGTGATTGGCACGTCATTCTGCGCGTAAACTGTCAGAAGTTCCTGAAGTCATATTGGACCTACGCAACTTCCGAAATGTCTCCAGGCAGAGACTCGCAGGGGACGCAGAACGACAGCTACCTTCAGAACCCAGAGGCATTGACCCATGCCGGGCACTGCCGCTTTAAAATTTTTTCATTTACTTGTAGTACTATGACTGGAATTTCTGGATAGTATCAACTCCAGTTCATGATGAGAACGGCCCACATCAATTGTCTTGAATTTACATCCAACTATCAACTGGTAGATGTATGTTTACCTTTCTTCTGCTCCTTCTAAGTGGAAGGAAGTGAAGTTTTGCCAAAAGTGCCATCACCACGCGCCAACCACTGGTCAGATCATGCTTGAACTAATGAGGATCTCCTTCTCTCCGTTGTTCACTAACTGGGGACAAGCTTTTTAAAAAGATGTCAGGCGCATTATCAACAGTCAATCACCTACTTTTGCATGACTTAGCTTTGCACCTTTTGACGAAAGTTGTTCGGGTGATTCATCCTATGAGGATTGCTCATTGCGTGTCGCTCAATTCAGTTCTACACTTCTTTGCTTTCTTAGCCGCGGACACGTGCAAATATCGAAGAAGTGCCAATTTGCAAGCTGGTAGAGCGTAACTCGATCTGTCTGTGGTGAATAGTTGTGGTGAACTGTGCTTTCTTGACAATCATAGAGTCATATGAGCATTCCACTCCTCCAACGGCCACCTTTGATTTATGTGAGACACTGCTCCATCTTCGTTAGTCGACGTAGCGGTGCGGAGGTGGTGCAGTGGCAAGTGGCGCACAATATCCTGCACACGGTTTCGAGAACGACTCTCGGATTGATCACGCCCAGCTAAATCGGGCCTTCCATCCCTGCGTATCGTACAATCGGTACCAGACCGCTAGAAGGGCAAACAGTACCAAATTGTGCATCGGCTAACCTCCGCATTTCATTGAATAGCTCGCACACGCTTCCAATGCGCCGCTATGATCTTTGATTGAATAGANTTCAGGGCGCATTCTAAGACGGGATTCAAATGCCAGAAGATCCGTCCGGTTTTGTTTTACAAGCCAGTGACTGGAAGTCAAGCATTTGGTTTCCGAAAAGCATTCGTGTCGATCTCTTGGGTGGAAAATCGTTCCTATATGTGCCATTTGCTGTTGTCCCTTATAGGCAGAGCTTCCAAATAAGAGGACGCTCGTGCTTGCGGGCAAGCTTTAGGCTTACCCGAACAGAGTTCGTCTGCTCTTAAAGTGTTCACGCCCTGCTGAGACGCTCACTACCATCTACATGTGTTCATTCGCATTATCTGAATCGATCAGGGTCTGATCATAGTGACAAATCCAAACCCTAAGTGACGGGACTCGTAGGTTCGGGATATCAGATCGGTACGTCTGTGAGCGCAGCATCTAGCCTCTGGGGTCGGAGCTTGTTATGATTTCAACAAACTGAAAGTAGTGGAGAAATCTGCCCATAATGAAAAGAAGAAAATATTTGGCAGCAGCAACAGAACTGGTTACAGCAGTCAAACATTCAGGACTAATATTTACTTGTGACCGGGTCAAGACAGAATCGGAAGTATTAACAGTTCCGTTAACGAAGACATACCTTACAAACATGTTTCAGAATTATACAAATAAGGGGTAAATAGTTAATAAGTGTCAAGAACATTTGCGAGTATTAGAAATTTCGTCCGAATAATCTAAAACTGGGGTTCAATACCGCCCTAGTCTTTTCTCCTTAAAAAGTCGCAAATTGTTTTGAAGATTAGTAATTTTTGATTCAAGCGGGTCTGAATCGGCCTTTGCTTTTAGTATACTGTGAAGTAATGACTTCATGGTGCTTCGATTACTTGGAGGCACTCCAGTAAGATGGTTGAGACCAATGT